TGAATACAAGAGTTTTACTGTTTTGCCACCCCAAACTGCTATGATTTTTTGACCCTGGCAGAAGCTCCGATGTAGACACTACTGCACTCAGTCTAGACATGGCCTGGGCTAATACTGAATCAGACATCGCTTGTGCATTTATGGGACAGATACAAGGCTCTTCTCATCACATCTAAAGATGCCGAGGGCTCCCCGTAGGTCTTAGTCACCAGGAGATCAGATTCGGTGTGAGAGAGACGATTTCTTAATAAAAGCTTTAGCACATACCCAGATCTTTCTTTTAAATATTTGTTCACCACCAAAACTGCCCAATACTGGGAGGGCTTTTCATGAGCAGTTCTCGGAGTGCTCTATACAAGCAGAACACTATCACTGTTCAAAATGACTAAACCAAGGTCAAGCGAAAGGAAAAATTAGTTGCTCAGTCTGATAAATGAATTAATTTCTGTAGGTATTTTTAGATTTTGTGAGTACATTTTATATGCTATAACAGGCTGTTTATACCAGAATCAAACCATTTTTGGACTGCGTAGTTCAAATATATGGACCAACCAAAATTAGTATTGAAAGTAAGATCTCCCAGAGGAATAGCTGGCATTTATGAAGTTGGATGTTTAGGTGTTATTACTATAATAAACATGACTGCTGCATCTAACATACAAGTGACACCATGCTCCAGAGGGCATCAGGAAAGACAATCAGAAATGCATTTGATTTGGAATCAACCTACGCATGCATGGAGCAGGACTGGACAATAGTTGGTACGGTGATGATCTTCAGAAAAAGCCAAGACCTGTTGTCTGTAACGATCAGAAAATGTTATTGTAAAATTCCAAGGCTGAGGACAGCGATGCAAGAAACAATTCTACAGAAACTGAAAAACATCAAGCATCAATTGTCATTTGGTTGGTTGGTTTTTAATCTACGATTTCAGAAGGGTCAGCGCACTATGTCTAAAAGCTAGAAGAAATGGAAAGTTACACTGCTACATTTTCTCATTTAAGATCAGAAACAGGAGCTGTGACCGGATGTGTTCTGCAGTAATTTACATGGTAATAGATGCTGCTGTTTCTCTGAGATCTGAGGTATAACTTTTTTTTTTTTTTTGAGGGGGAAAATGTATAAACACATTTTCTCTTTATCACATATGATAGAAAGCTCTAAGGAGAGAATAAAACTGTTTTTCCCTTGAGTCAAAGTCAGAGTCATTTGAGAAATCAAATGACTGTATGTTCCTCTGGTTGCTGTGCAACTTGCAAGCATCTTAAAAGTGCCTCTTCTCTGCCTAATAGCTCATTTCTAAAATCTGCTTTCTGTGTGGTATCTGATGTTAGTTCTTCAAATGGAGAGAAATTCACACATGATGAAAGAGCAGCTTTAAAGACCAGCTTGGCAAAATGGAAAAAGCCATTAAATTTTCCAATCAAGCCCATCCCCACCTCACTGAAAATGGTCTAAGGGAAATTTAAGCACACCACACAAAAAAACCTCTCCTTCATGTCACAAACCCTCAAATGCTGTCTTTACTAAAGGTAAGGCTAAGCACTTACCAACGTAGGCTTTTACTAACTGGTATTAGTCCAACTTCTTAATCACAGATTTCAAATTAGTAAATACTGCAGCTTAGAACTCAAATAGTGCAAGGGCTATAGCTGGCTGAAAAACATTTCTGGTATGCAGAAACAGTGGAGTTCTGAATTATAATAAGAAGTCAACTAAGCCTTTGGTGTGCTGCCTAGAGAACCAACTGCTTTTCAGCAACCTTGTGTTAACTCAAAAGAACACAGGAACTAGCTATTTCCGTAAGTAGCCCTGTGAATGTCGGCCTCATCGTTGCTTCTAGGTGTTGCCACCTAGACTAAACCATCAAATGCATTGACTAGACTAAACCATTGAATGCTCAACTCACTAAAGATTGTCTAGGATTCATGTGGGTAAATCAATGCTCACAAAATGTAAAGCCATGAAAAAGCTCAGCTTTAGCCCTTTTAAGTGCAAAGTAGCCTGAAACTGTAACAACATCGTGGAACTTTTGTTATCATCCATAATTTCAAATTTCTTCACAAAGTTAAGGAAACAGTCTTATTTCTACTTTGCAAATAGACAGAGCTGAGATCTGGAAGAGCAAGTTGACTTCTCCAACTCTACTTATGCCAAGGCCCTTCTGAGTACCAGTTCAATTTCCATGTGAGCAGGGTCCCAAATATGTTTTTTCACTTTTTTGTAAAGCCTTCCATTTGCCATAAATAGAAATAGCACATGTGTATATCATAGTCTTTTATCAACGTACCGTATGTGACGGGGTCTGGTGTCAGTTAAACTTCTGCACAATGAAAAGGAAAGATTGTGATCATTGAAAAAACTGCATATCGTGCCAGTTTTGTAGATGGTCCAGAACCAGAGGCAGATGTACTGTACCAGAAGCTCTCTCTTTGTTTAAGATGAGCACATGACCTGCAAATGCTGTATTTCTCCAGTACATAACAAGCACAGTATCAAGCATTTTTTTCAAGGACAGCTACAGTATAGGAGCCTCCAATCTCTATTACAAATGGCAGCACAAGACATCACCCCACAAACATGATGAAGGATGTTCTGACAGCTGCATTAATGAAAAGAAACGCTTCCAAAAGGTGGCATTTACACTTAATTCAGCTAATGTATGAACTAAACATTCAATGCTATGAAGCCTGTGGTAGTGCTGGCATAACATTGTCCAGGACTGTCCCTATCTGTAGACAAAGCCTGCAGATGCACTTCTGGGGGAGGTAAACCAAAGAGCAAGCTCCTCCTCCATTACCTGTTGAGCAGAACCTGTCCCTTTCTGAGGGTACAGTTCACTTAACTACTAGGAGATAAGATGCAACTCAGAATACCTTCTTGTGAGGACAATGCCACTGTGTCACCAGTGGGCAAGATGCTCAGTCTCCCAGCGTCTGAAAATGGGGATAAGTATCTTTGCCTTTCCAAAAAGTGAGATCAGCAACTTCAATCATGGTTAGGAAGCACTTTGAGGGCAGAGACTACTGCAATACAAAGTCTTTTATGTTCTCTCTTTCTTCTTTCAGTCTTGCCAGGGTCTTTGTGTAACATTTGGCATGCAGCCGGATTGTGCTATTAGAGAATTTAATTTTTAATGTTCATCATTGTCACCTGATCCTCTACCAAGGGGAAAATTTTTAAGGGAAAAAAGCAGCTGCTGGATGGAGTGTTTTTTTCTTAATGTCTAATCTTTACTGATATTTTTGTGTCACTTAAATTCTACTTCTCTAGAATTAAATGCTTTCTGCATGCTGTGCCATTAATATAAATATCAAACACAGAAATTATGTTCCACCCCCCACCCTGCCCCTTATCTATGGGGAAATCCCTTATCTCTCACAGTCATAAGTAATTTAGGATCAGACACAGATGGGCTGAGATGTGAATGCCTCAGGGAGCAACTGAAATAGCTCCCTGATAGACATCACAGGGGCTGAGCACAGTATCTCTCCGCGTTTATTCTGATTATCGTGAAGGCTGCCAACAGGCTCTTC